TTACAACTCAGGCTCGCCTGGTGCATGATGGGACTGACTCGCGAAGAATATGATTCAGAAGAAAGGAAGAGATCAAAGGAGGAAAAAGTTTTCCTTATGACGAATCTGAGGGATCTGATAGTCGAGGAGGGAGCAGCAGTAGCGTGTGCAAAGCGGAGAGACGCTCTCTGTTTCATTCGATTCCTGATAGAGCAGATCTCAGTACCTGCATTAAGCACTTGTGTTAAAATGTTGAAGGAAGGCGATGAGCGAACGAAAGCCATGTTCTTACTAGCAATGCTGGATATGCAGCAAAGTAAACCGATGAGGGTGAACATGAAAGAACCTGAAGAATTGGAACCCATGAAAAAGATAGACGAGATCAGGAGATTCTCAAACAAGGAGTTGAGGTTCACTAAAGAATCTATGGGAGCATTGCCGAAATCCAGTGAATACTGTGGACCGATCAAGAAGAAGTCATATAGCTATGTATCCGGGATTATAGGGATGGCATACAATCCTTTCCTGAGTGAAGACATACGTGATTGCTTCTTTGATTATGAGCAGGCGGTGTTACTAAGATTCTGGACGTCCAGAATTGTGACGACTAAGAGCGTTAACAATCCACAGGCCAAATTGGGATTGGTCTTGGAAGAAGAGGTGACTGCACCTTCAGTACCAAAATCCGACAAGAGAGTGGAATTTGGGTTGGGATTCTCAGATGAATTACTGAGAACGAGCTTGATGGCAGTGTGGGAATTGATGAAGCCATCGTGGTGTCCTAGTCCCAACGCTGACTAGATATTACGGGCGACACAGGACATACAGAGGGAACTGAATGTGGACTGTAACCTGTGTGACCTCAACATCATATATAATGTGATGACAACAGCCTCTAAGAGCAACGGAGAAGATGGAGTGGAGTTGCCTGGCTGGGGACCAGAAGACTGGGTCAAACCTGGTAGCTGTCTGGCGGAAGTCTGTGGACTAGAGGGTCACGTTTGTGGAAGTCTAGACTGTGTGAAAACCCTGGAGAAACAACACAAGCAGTTGACGGTATTGTTTGGAAATGTAGTGATGAAAGCAAGAACGGAAACGGAACTGATAGCAGATTGCCATGGAGGAACCGATGTGAATCTAGTGACAGCACTAGGATTCTACAGCATGTTTGGTTCTTTAGAGTCACTATTGAATCTAGAACAGAAACATGAGATGGTCACAGCCATCAGCGTAGAAGTATTCCCAGGAGTTCTGCAGACTGAGCAGAAGTATATAGGAAAATGGAGGGAAGCAATCGAAACGGAGATGAACATCAGACACGGCGAAACTTATTGTAGACCATCAGGAGCACGATATTTGGTGGGTTCAACGTTGGCTCCAATGTGCAAGAGCAGATACCCTGTACATTTCGTGGCTGTGGACGTGAAGAGTACAAGAACGATCGTGGATCAAGCTTTCTCAGTGCCAAAGTGCGTGAGATTGGCGAGAATGTCTGAAAAGTCTTACGAGTTACTATGTAAGATGTTCTCAGCAGTCCCAGAAAGAACCAAAGAGGAGTTGGAGTCAATACTAGGAAAGAAGTTCATGGGATATGTGAGCGGGAACTTCAGTGACTTTGAAAAACAGAAACAGAGAGGATCAACTGTCACAGATTACAATGCAGTAGATGAGAATGATGAGATCCACCGAGTGATGATGGAAGTGGAGCCATTGCTGGAAGCTTCGGGAAAACGGAATTGGAGGAGCATCATGTTGACACATGACGAGTTTCCTTGCCACTGCTTGCTGCAGACCTGGTGGTATCCCAAGCGTAGTAATCTGGTGTTGATCTGGGACTCTGGAGAGCTGCTCTCCATGGGTTTACCAGATTCATCACAGCCCATAACAATAGTGATAGTGGGAGTTATGATGGCGATACGATGGCTGGAAGCTCATGTGAGAGAAAATAATAGACAGGAGGCACCGACGAGAGAACAGTTGCAGAAATTAGATTGTCTAAAAGATTTAGATCTTTTTGAGACAATGTGCAAAGTTCTAAACATTCCGATGGAAGTGAAGAAGATATGGGCACGAAAACGATTGATGCCATGGTTCAGAGCTAACATGACTGCATGGTTGTACGAGTATGCGAAAAAGCATATGTCGAAACATGGCAGAGTGTACAGTGAATATCAGCTGGACATTGGGGCAGGAGCTTTCAAGCGAACTTTCGTGACCCATCGGAATGCAGTGACCACCGCTGTGAAAAGAATTTCCAGGACGAGCGAGCGTAGTGGAAATGAGAAGGCAGAGATGCTGAAAGAAGATTTGGAAAGAAACGTGGCGTTGTGTCTCCACAACAGCTTCTGTAGAAACAGAGAATCAAACGTGGATCCCCTACTTTGCTGTAAACAGAGGGTGGAAGAGCAGAAGTGTTGGAGGACGGCTTCCAACAGCGTCAGGATAGTCAATGACGTGCTACAAGACACGGAAACCGAGAGTGCGGAGTCAGTGTCACAGGAGGAGGAAATGGAGCATTGATGAATGGTCGAGAAAACAAGAGGCAACAAGAAAGAAAATTAGAAGAATTTAGAAGTTTTAGAACTTCTAAACGACGAAAAAAGAAGAGAACAAAGGGATGATGAAGAAAAGTTAAAACTCAAAATTGTTTTATGTGTGTGAAAAACTCAAGTGAGAAACCAAGCAACCAAGTTGTAATTGAAAACTGAAACATTTAAGTTGAGTTTGGAAATTGTTGCATTTATAAATTTGCATTTTGGTTTTAGTTGAAGTGGCTTTAGAGACACTCACTTATTATTTATTTAGAAAGGCTTGAGGGAAGAGTATATTTAAATATTCCAGCCTGCATGATTGTTTTTAATCACTTAGGAAGACTGATCACTTTGTGGTGACATGAAAAACTGGAGTAACTTCTTGAGGAGGGAGGTTGTTGCATTGTTCTTTCTAACCACAAAGTTTCTTAGTTTTAATATTCAGGACAATAAACAAGCAAGATTTCCGAAGGGAAGGAGCATAGTAGGATAATTTTAGCTTGTTGGTTGGCAGGACTGTCCTGCAAGCCAACACCTTTTAAATCTAGGAGAAAAAGTCTCAATCGGGATATTGACACTGGAAGTCAGAAAATATGTTTTATCTTAAGTCATATCCTCAATGTGCAGATTAATGAAAGAATTTGAAGGCTATAGTGATGTAGTATGATGCCATTTATATTCTGCAGTGAGTCGATGTGACGTAGGTAAAAGTAATTTCGTGCATTTTGTAAATTCTGTTCGATGACACTGTAACCATTTAGAACATTGCGCGATTCAATGAGGACATTGACCGGACTGTCCAGGGAGTATGTGACATTCGACCAGAATGGCCAAAATGCAGTCTCTGCAGAATTCGGTATTTTAGCAGCAAGCCTTCCGAATTGGCGATTTAGAACGGATAAGGACGTTATTTGAACGATTAGCCAAACGGTGAAGGCTAGAAGATTCTGGAATTCTAATTTTTAAAAATTCGAATTATGACGTCATATTTCTGAGAAACGTCAGAGACGGCCATTTTAGCTAAAATAGCAGGAAGAAACAGAACAACTTTTATCTGCGATTGCGAACAGTGCGAAAATCGAGATTAGAGAACGACAACAAAATACAGAAGAGCAGAGGACGTTCCGAGTTGCAACTATTGTGCTGTTACAATAGTTGCAAGGCCGTTGCGAACAACGGTGAAGGGTAAAAACCAGCCCTCCGAGTTAGCGTGAACCTGAGGTTAAGGAGCTTGATTCGCCGGATTCAAGAATCCGGAAGGGTCTCGGGACGGGAACTTTTATGAACTTGTATTGAATTTTAGCATCCTGTCATGTCCTGACTTGAATTTAACTGATATTTTGATTAGTTTTGACAAGGATGAGGTGCTAGGAGTTGGGGGAAAGGGTTGATCCATCTTCGATGGAGATGATGATTTTTATCTACTGAACAAAAACAATAGTAATATAATAAGTAGTAGCCCTGTTTTTAGGAGTGACCTCGTGGTCTGGGGATACTGAGACCCAGCCATGAGCTCACTATTTTTGCATGTAATTCAGTTAATTTGAGCGTTCTGGTCGAAGCCGGAGAACAGTAACGTTTTTGTCAGCCTGATGTAAGAAAGACCACCGAAAAGTACTGGCTTGGTAGAGACGGTGAAAAACATGCAAAGCTCTGTTTAGACGCTAGCCAGTCGTCTTAAGACTTAGTTTTGTTATCCGTCGATATGTATCTTCCGGGCGAATGTTACATAGCCTTTAAGCTGTAACGGGTCGTAGTCTCATGTCACAAACGAACCGAACTGGCTCCGACCGTTCTTGAGGTAGAAAAACACAAGAGATAGTGTCCCTGACCCTTGAGCCAGTGGTTATAGGGCCTATTTTTCTTAAGCCTCATGTGTGACTGCAGTAGACGAATGTTACAGTTTTGGGCAAAGTCTTTTTGTTGAAACTGCCCCATTCATCACACATTGGTATAACAAAGTTATCAAAACACCTACCTCCAGCTTTAGCTGGGGCCCCTAGTTGTTATATTTTATCGAGACATGCAAAATTTCTGTTTATTTTTTCATGTTTTCGTGTTGTATCGCAAGCTGTGCGAAGCTCCGATTCGCCTCTGTCCACTTTGTCAATTTTTTTTCAGAATAACGCATCCTTGAAAAATAACCCCAAAGGCTCTGCGATTTCTTGTGTACTTTTCAATTTCTTAGGAGATTTTGCACCTTTAACTTTTTCTTAAAATCTCCTTTTCTTTTCAGCATCTTTATTTCATCATTAAATTTTCATCATCATTTTTATAAATTGTTTTGGAAGTGTTGCGAAGCTCCGCTTTACCCCTAAATAATTGTGACTAGCTGGTAGTCCTGAATTATTCCAGCATTCAATGACTTCATCCGTACCTAGCATGCCTGATTAGAGTATGAGGAACGAAGCTGGTGCTGGAATATAAAATATCAATTTCCCAGTAAACTTCATGAGTAGGGCATTTCCATTTTGTTGGTTTTTTTTTCAGAATAATGCCTCCTAAAAAAGGTACCAAAAAAGCTCTCGCAGCTGGTGGCAATGGAAACGGAAAAGAAGCTATCACCACGTTGAAGCAAAATGAGAAGAAGCTTCAACATGAACTGATAAATCTTTTTGATAAAGTGCAAAATGGAAAATTAGACAATGAAACAGCAGTGTCGATTCTCAGACGTTATTATGAAAAGGTTTAGTGTTTCTTTCATTTTGTTGAACTATTTTTTGTTGATTAATGAAAATTAGCTGATGTTTAGGCAAGAGGAGTCACTGGTCAGAATGAAATTGAAAATATTCCAGACTTCGCAGAAAACATCCAAGATTTCAATACTTTTATCAGTGGAATTTTGGTACAAAATTATGAGATACCTGAAAAATCGTTTCCCGTGGAAAAGAGCCTAAAACTTTTTGCTTCATTTGCTTGCTACTGTATAGGCGAAGAGTTGCCTTTTGTGGATCAATTAACATGGCTAATTGAACAGGTTAGTCTGCAATTTTTGTTATATTGTTTTGTATAGAGTTTAGATCTGCTATCATTGAAAATGCATTTAGTTTCACGACGATCAGCGAAAACAGTTTCGTCTGAAAACATGTCAACTTATACTGAATATCATGACCCTGTGCGCGAGCGAAGAAATTGACCTGAGCGTTGACCTCTGGAACAAACTCCGCAATATTCTGCTGGTTCGGAGCAGAGACAAATCCTCGGAGGCGCGACTGATGGCAGTGAAGGCACTCGTGTTTTTTCAGCCTCAATTAGATGATGAAGATATGGAAGACGATGCAGCTACGCGCACTCAGGAATTGGACAAAGATGCTGTCGTGAAACGTGAGATATTTGCAGAATTGAATGAAGCTTAAAAAATTGTGTGAAAAGAGGTTTTTACTATTTAACGCTTTAAATGGAAGCTCGTATCGAACTTTTATTATTTTTTTTCGCGATTTCCTAATTTGCAGTTTTTACTCAACCCAAACATTATGAATTGGACAATTCTTTAAAAGGCAGCTTGATTTTAAAAAAAACTAAATTACAAAAGGGGCCCTTCCGTTTAGTTACGGTAAGTGCACAAGCTGGATAGGGCCATACCAGCGTTATAAAAATGCATATATATCAGCAATAAAGTCATAAATCAGCATTAAATGCATCGTCGTAATGTTAATTTATCTTAGAAGTCCTTCCTCTACAATAGCGCTTATGGAGTTGTCGATCAATTGAACTTTGCGTAGCGATCTGCACCCCCTTATACAAAGTATAAAACATTGTTAATTGTTTAAACTTAATACAAAGTATAAAACACTATTATACAAAGTTAATTGAGTCAAACTAGGCTATACTTTGTCGTTTCAGAATTGGCCTTTTTATTGGGAGCTGAATCAGCTGAAATACGCAAGGTGGTTCTATCTTCTCTCGTGGTTAATAACAACACAGTGTTGAAGTGTATTCTGCGACACTGCCGTGACGTGGACATGGGTTGTCGTGCAATTGCTGTTCAGACGCTGTCTCAGTTTGTTACCATTAAGGCTCTCTCGTTCCAGCAACGAGTGGATGTTCTAACGATTGCGTTCAGAAACTCATCCCATCGTAAGCCAATATTTGTTTCCCTTCTACCCTTGCGAATGGTAAATTTCAGAACTTGTATCTGCTCAAAGATTGCCGGCTTAATTTAATCTTCGCAAGTTTTGTTCCGTTTCTAATTGTTGCGATTTTCGATACGAAAGTAACGGAATATTTGTGCTCGGGGTGGGTTTTTTTTGTTCAGACAAATTTCGACTTTTTAACTAGCCATTTTTGACGGAACTTTTTTATATCATTCAAAAGGTATTGTTGTCCTCAGCTTAAAATTGAAAAGATATTTCACCTGTGATCATTTTTCGTAAAGTTATGAGGGTTTAAAGATTGCCATTTTGGCCAATTTGGGACAATTAACGCACGATATAATTCGCGCTATTAACGCGTCAGCGAGATTTAATCCGTCTTAGAAATCGTTCCAAATTGGTTCAAGGATGCTTTCATGCCAAAAAAATCAATTGATTACAAGGACTAAATTTCATCTAATAATATTTTATTTGCAAATTAGCTCCCTCCGTTTTTGGCTCTTTACACTTTTCCTTGCTTTCTAATTGTTCCGACTTTCGATACGAAAGTAACGGAATATTTGTGCTCGGGGTGGGTTTTTTTTTCTTCAGACAAATTTCGACTTTTTAACTAGCTATTTTTGACGGAATTTTTTTTATATCATTCAAAAGGTATTGTTGTCCTCAGCTTAAAATTGAAAAGATGTTTCACCTGTGATCATTTTTCGTAAAGTTATGAGGGTTTAAAGATTGCCATTTTGGCCAATTTGGGACAATTAACGCACGATATAATTCGCGCTATTAACGCGTCAGCGAGATTTAATCCGTCTTAAAATCGTTCCAAATTGGTTGAAAGAAGCTTATTTGCCATAATTGATTTGTTACAAGGAGCGAAATTTATCCTTTTGTTCTTTGTATGGCGTGTGGGGGATGATTTTCATGTAAAATTCAAAAAAAAAATCATTTTATTTTATTACATTTAATTTTTTTTAGGTTATTGCTGCTCCATAAGCCTTAAAAGGCAGTCGGCACATTCAAGGCTTTGCCCTTATACGAGCAGTCGTTTTCAAATTTCTGGTATGTTAGTCTAGAATGAACTTTTATCGAGACATGCGAAAATTTCATTTTTGGCAGAGCTGGTTTTTCAGTTTTTTTACTTATGTTTGTGTTAATCGCAAGTGGCGCGAAGCTCCGCTTCGCCTCTGTGTGAAGTATGGTTCGTTGTTCTTGGTTTTCAAATAGTTTTGTTTGTTCACGATTCTAAGCAGAACCCAAAAGTCATAATAGTGGCTGAGTTTTGAAGAATGTTGATGAATTGACAGGTTTTATATCTCGAGTGCTGCCTACTTATTCTTTGCCATGGAAATTTTCTATTTGTCTAGTTTTTTGCGGCGAGATTTTTCTAAACTGATGCATAGAACACATTATATATTCATTCCACGAAAAAGACTAAACCAATTATAACTACTTTCTGGTGCGTGTCTGTTTTTGATCAGAGCGATCCTTTTCTGCTCATTTTCTAGGTTAACTGGTTTTGAGGGTGAATTGAAAACTGTGTTGTGCATCTAAAGGGAAATACTTGGTGTATAGTTATCGCATACTGCTAAATGATAAATAGTTCGTGCATTTTATATCAGTCAGAAGTAGCTGCATATACTGATATTATATTGCAGAAAGAAAATTTGGTCTTTCTGATTATTAATAAGGAATGTATCGTTCCTGACACCGGCTTTGACTAATTATAGAAGGAACTTGAACTCCTTTAGACCGAAAACTCTCGAAAAAAAAATCAATTGATTACAAGGACTAAATTTCATCTAATAATATTCTATTTGCAAATTGGCTCCGTCCGTTTTTGGCTCTTTACACTTTTCCTTGCTTTCTAATTTTCTATTGTCATAGTCGTTTCAAGTGTTAATATGGCTAAATGCACGATGGTGCTATAAAAGTTTTCTTTGTAATATGACAACGCGAAATTCAAATATTGGTGCAAACTGGCATAGAGATTTTTTGCTACTAAAGTTGTGTGATTTGTTTAACAGCTGCAATGGAAGCTGCGGTGAAGAGTCTTCTGAACAGCTGGCTGTCCCAGGTGGGAGGGGGCATCTCTGACTTCCTCAAGGTCATCGACCCTGTCTTGAATCCTCTTCTCTGCTCCAAACTGGTCCACACCATCTGTATCTCCCTCCCCAATCCACAAATGGCTCTGGACAGTTTTGATGTTTTAGACGAGCGGTAATTTTTTTGCAGTTTTCTTCTACGTCTTTCGTGAATAATGGTTGATTTTAAGTGCCAATATGGAATCATTTTGTCCTGTATCTGGGTTTTCACTAAAATATAAGTATCATTTTCAATGGACTTTTCTTGAACTTATTTAAGAAGGTTCTTTTACATGATTTTGAACCAAAGATTTTTTAAGTGTTTCAATTATATTGTAAAAACAGCAAAATTTAAGGTTATTTATCAATACATTGTGTTTTTGTTCAAATTTCAAACCGCCAGGACGTAAGTCATTAACCTACTATTTCTAATGAATGTACTCAATGATATAAATGTGTTACTTTTTGCAGGAAACTGTTGAGCGAGGAGTGGTGTTCTCCTGAGAATGCGTTCCAGTGGAGCAAACTGCTGGAGTTCCTCAAGGACCAACACCAGACAGAACTGCTGGATAAGAACACGCCCAATGTCTCAGAGTTCGCTCACTTCTTAGCTCAGTAAGCATCTATAATACGCAGTGAAACGAATTTAAAACGGCCATTTTAATGAATTACGATTGCGAGAAACAAGCATCCTCGCGACATATTTAAAGAGTCTGATACTACGTCAAAAATCAATCAAAGAAATATAAAAAAATGGTTTCAATTTAAAGCTCTTTTTGCTACCCCCCCCCCCCCCCCCCCAAACCCAACCCAACCCCTCACACAACTATCAATTTTATGGTGTAACGAGTGGTTTTACAAGGTTAATTAGGGAGACCAAATATGTTTGGCACAGCCTAATTAGTCCGCATGTCAATTTTCAAAACGATAGGACAATGTCAACAGTAGCTTTTTTAGTTAAAAATTGCAGGTGGGGTGGGGGAAAGGAAAAAGAGACCAATTTGATAATGCTTGTTTGGCAATCTCAGTTCATTGAAGTTGTTTCGTTGAATAAAAAGATCAATTTAATTTTTGACTTCTGACGTAGTATCACTCTTTAAATATGTCGTGATGATTTTTTTTCAGGAAAAGTCTTAAAATTTGTTCAGGCTCAAATTTACTTCGGGAATCGAAAAAAATGATTGAAAAATTACTTTTTTGTATTTGGAAAAATATGAATCAAGTTAAACCTTAAAATTTCAAGAGCTTTAACTTGATTTATGTTTTCTTAAATACAAATTTCAGAAAATTTTAATCAATGTTTTTGGTTCCCTTGAGTTATCTTACACTTCCAAGCATCTGTTTCCTTTGTTTTCTGAAGTTTTTAGTTACTATTTTTGAATATAAAAGGGTACAGTTCTCTTCTTCCGGCAACATTGATAAACAACGTTTAAGAAATATTTGAATCAAATATATATATTTCATCCTAGAATTTTAATCAATCGCGGTTTTTCTATGAGACTTACATTTGATTCTAGTAGAGAATATTTATTAAGACGATGATTTAATTGAAAATCTTTCAGGATCAAACTCTTTTGTGTCAGCTTTGATACCTACTTAAACGATATTGACGAATGTGCAGCTCAATTACTCTTTGGACGCCTGTGTTTTGTTTTTGTTTTAACTTGCTCAAATGCTTCATTGACTTGTTTTTGTACTGATGTCTATTTAATATGATCTTCTTTTTCAGCCACTCGAAGAAACTTGGCGAGACGGACGTGGAAGACGAATTGATCAGTCGGACGTTCGTGCTGCAGCAGTTCCTGGACATCGCAGACCTCCTGGATCTGTCCATGGACGAAGTGGGAAGGTCAGAATTTTGTTTTCATTTTTCCTGGGATATCTTTCAATCTGAAACATATCCCAAGTGGAAATTATCCAGATTGGAAGATATCCCAGGAAATAAATAAAAGAATTTATTATTTATTTATTACCTGGGATATCTTCCAATCTGAATTATATAAGTCTACTGATTAAAAGTCTGCTTAATTGCACAAAATCAAGTTGCATCAGTTTGTAGAGTCATTTTGGGTATCCGTTGTGGATTTCATTTAAAATGGAAAAATGTTTTTTTTTAATATCATATTCTGGATTGAAGTTGCTTGGGTTTGTTTTAGGAAAAATCTCGTGCAAGTGTTGGAATGTAACCTGAGAAACGCTTCAAACAACGAGTACTCGCGACTTGTGACACAAGAGTTGAAATTGCTCTATAAGCTACTCGGGAAACAGAAATTCATTCACGCTTCTTTGGACGCCATCGACGAGTTGCGATTTCCTCTCGGAGGCACGAGCAGCGACGACTTCGAAGTGCAGAAAGGCCGTGCGATGAATAAGTCGGCGACTGAAATGGGAAACCAGTCAGTAGCGGGAAGTGCGAATGAATCATCAGTATCGTCTTTGGACGCGAGTGGGCAGATAGTAGATTTGGAAACCAGTATGCTAAGAGAGCAACAGTTTCAGGTACATTTAAAGCAATGTTTGAATCTAAGATTATTTGTAAAAGTTTTTATTGTAAGCTTTAACCGATTCATTGAATGAGCCTCAATGCGGCTGTCTTCGTTCGTGACTATTCACCAAATTAATGAAAAATGGTTTAAATGAAAAAGGAGCTTGCGTTCAATATTTGCTTAGAAAAAAATAATGTGTTCCATCCGTTAATAACTATTAAGAAATGATGCATTTCATTTCATTTCTTTAGTTAAAACGGAGGGAAGCTCCAATATCGAACATCAAAAGTGTAAATTTTACAAAAATCGTGATGGACTTCTAATTTAAAAGAGGTTTTTCTTTTCATATGTCCCAGCGGAATAAAAACTTTACCTAACGCTCAGTGTTTCTCGAATTGAGTTCTCGAATCTTATCAAAACAGTGTCAATCATAATTTGTTCTTGAACTTCGAAGAGCTTTAAGGCCATGTTTTTTCTTTTAAATTCAAAATTTGAAATTTTTTTTCAAAAAACAGCCAGTTTTTCTATTTCATTGCATTTATTGACTCTTTTCTTAGTCTGTTGGCTATGTTTTATTTTTTACACGTGCGCAATATACTACCCTCCATTTTGTTCCAGCCTAATTCGCAACTACTGTTGCTACTTTTGGTGGAACCATTATTTTCACAAAAGTGGTGAAAAAACCGACTACTAACTGTGTGCCGCATATTACGGTAGCCTCTTTACCCCGTACTCGACGGCCTTAAAAACTCCGAGTGGGGAGGGGATTGGGACTTTTAACCCATTTTTGGATTTTTCATTTCATCAAAAATTACTCTGCCAAAACTTCATTTAAAAAACATGTTCATGGAATTTTCTCTGCATAAGCTGATACGCCCTTTTTGTGTAGAAAAAGATATTGACTTAAGAAATGTCTTAATTGTGGAATTTTGACTTTTTTCGGAAAGTTTAGAAGTTTTTGACTTTTGTTGAACCACCGTGCGAAATCTAAGATTAAGGGTTTAATCGAAAGATTTTTTTTTTTTACAAAAACAAGTTTGACTTAGAAAAGGTCTACTTCTTGTTTACCGGTTCTCCTTGTAAGCCGAGGGTTACAGGTACAATCGAAAGATTGTCGCTAGTCTTTTTCTGCATAGCGGCTACGCCCTTTTTGTAGGAATCAATGTTAGACTTAGCGAAAGTCAATTTTTCGAAACCTTGTTCATTTTTGGCTTTTTTATTTTCTTGAAAATTCGGTGCCAAATCTGAGATGGACTTCAATCGAAAGATGAAATTTTAAGGGTATCCCTTGTGCCTGCAAGTTTTCTCAGTTTTGGTACGAAATTTGCAATGGTCTTTGACCTTTTGACATTTTTTGACTTCAGTCAATTTTCCCAAAAGTAGTGTGCCTATTCTCAAATAGGATATCAATCGAATTGAGTTGTTTTAAAGATCTCCTCTGCAAAGGTTTTTTCTCAATAAATTTGACAGGGAATCTGCTGTGGACTTAGTGTCCATTTTTGAAAGTTTTGTTATATATTTGCAAAATTACGCTTTACCTTTCGCCTTTGAATTTTTTCGGAAAATTTGTCTAATAGATAGCCTCAGCTGGGCCACAGTTTTTTTCACAAGTGACCTTGCGGCAGATGCGAGGACGCTATACGTGTAATCTACAGGTGCGAGGTTTAAATCCGTATCATTGAATTACTTTTAATTTTATTTGGTGGTACGTATCAGGTGCTGTTTAGCATTGGCAATGTAATAGCACCTGTAGCTGCCGTTTTCTTGCTTGTGTTTGTGAAGTGCAGCTTTGCATCTGTGTTTTACTAGGCGTGAGGGCTATAATTAAAAAGAACTGTCACATCCCTAAATTCCCTTGCCTCTTAAACTTGCCTCGTCATTTGGAGAGCGTTCCTATAAAAGCATAGCAATCTTCTAGAGACCAGAAAGAGCCATGATGAGATCTGACAAGAACCGAAACTTTTTGCGCTTCAAGTAGTATTCTCAATCTTCTTTTTCAGTTGAACAAACTGCGCGTGGAGATTATAAAGTGTCGAGATGTGATGGATTCTTTTGTGGCAGAGAGGGATTTCATGAGGGCACAGGAGGAGAAGGAGACTCTCACTCAGCTGGAGAGGCAGAAGGATGAGATACAGAAGAGCATAGATGAGTTGAAGAACGTCAAGGTCACAAGAGGCCTCAAGGACAAGAATAAGAAACAGAAGGAAGGTAATCGAATTGAAAAATTAAATTATAAATGTGTTTAAGCCAAATAAAATCAAACAAGATTGGTTTGTTGTTTTGCGTTCAGCTCAATTTCTGGATCTACAACCAAAAACATCCCCAACACAAGAAAAAATCTTTTGCATTCATGGGGAAATTTTTTTAAATTTCCTGATTTGCCCACTGCAAGGCCCCCCTAGGCGAGGGGGTGTCATCCTCAAAAGTAATTGAATTCTGTGCAAGAAGCATAGAAAGTGCTTGCCAGCTCTTGACCCGATGACAGTTATGAATGCAAAAGATTTTTATCTTGTGTTGAGGGTGTTTTTGGTGGTAGATCCAGAAATTGAGCTGAACGCAAAACAACAAACCAATCTTGTTTGATTTTATTTGGCCTTAGAATACATTTATAATTTAATTTATCGTACCGGAGCGTTAAGAATTCAATCACCTCAAAAATTTTGGCTGAAATTTAAAAGATGAAGTGTCATTTCCAGCGAAAAATAATGAAGCTTAGCAGATTGAGATAACCTGGGTGCGAAGTCGCGTAAATTCCATATTTAGTTTTCTTGCTGTCATGAAAACTTCGACTGTTAAGTTATGAAAATGGGCTCTTCCTGGGGATTTCTTGAAAATAAAGTGACGGAACTAAGGGCGCAAAATTTATTAAAAACGCTCTTTCGTTGTTCTAAGTTGACGAAATTGCGCATGTAAAAGGGGTGAAATTTTCATTGTCGTGTATCGTGTAATATTTATTGTGATACTTAACTATCCATTTTTCTCGGGACCCATTTTATTTAATCAAAATTATTTTTAACAGGTGAGAACAACAAAGAAGACGAGGTCGGAGAAAAGTGCGGAGAAGGCGATGCTAGTGATTCTCACGAAAATGATGGGATGAGATCGGGTCAGAATCGAGAGAGCACAGAGGAAACGGTACGATTTGTTCAGATATATTGACTAGTTTAAGATCGAAACGTCTAGAAATCTATTGGATAAAATCTTTTTGTGTGAGTAGCCCAAAAATGCTAATAGCAAAAGAATTTTTTAGTATACTAAATATTTTGTTTCGAAATCTTTGTTTGCTTCTTATTTGAAACTAGATCAGAACAAAAGAATTTGAGCATGAACAGAAATTTTTTATTTTTCCGACTTTCGATACAAAAGTAACGGAATATGTGATCTCGTGGTGGGTTTTTTTTCTTGAGACAAATTTCGACTTTTTAACTAGCCATTTTAGAAGGATTTTTTTTTTCATACCATTCCAAAAGTATTGTTGAGCTTATGTTTGTTATTTCACCTGTGATGATTTTTCGTAGAGTTATGGGGGTTTAAAGATTGCCAATTTGGGACAATTAACGCGCTATATATTTCGCGCTATTAACGAGTAAGCGGAGATTTAATCATTCTCAGAAATTGTTCCAAATTGGTTGAATGAAGCTTTTTTGCCATAATTGATTTGTTACAAGAAGCGGAATCTATTCTTTTGTACTTTGTATGGCGTGTGGGGGGATGATTTTCATAAAAAGTTTCAAAATATACAAAAAAAAGTTTCATTTTGTTTTATTACATTAGTTTTTTGTATATTATTTCTGCTCCATAAACCTTAAAAGGCAGTCGGGCCATTCAGGGCTTCGCCCTGATACGAGCATTCTTGTTCGATTTTCGAACCAGCAGTGAAATATAAATTTACAGAAAGACATGGAAAACACTTACTGCGTGGCTTAAAACACTCCTTTTCAAAGAATAAATTGCGCTTTTGCGGTAAGTATTGGCAGCTTAGAATTATTTTTGTCATATTTCAGACGATGCTCATTTTTTAAAAACCATAAGACTAGAATTGTTATCTGATTGCACAAGCAATGCTTGTGTTATAGTATGAACTATCTTTTTTCCAACCTAAGTTGCAAATATTGTTGCGATAAAATGTGTTCATTTTGACCAATAACCAACTATTAAGTACAGCCAATGCTAGGGATTTTAACACACTATTATTGTTCCAATTTCTGTTACGAAAGTAACGGAATATTTGTGCTCGGCGTGGTTTTTTTTCTTTTGACAATCTGCGACCTTTTAACTAGCCATTTTTGACGAGATTTTTTAAAATATCATTCTCAAAGTATTGTTGTCCTGAGCTTAAATTTGAAAAGATATTTTACCTGTGATCATTTTTCGTGAAGTTATGAGGGTTTATAAATTGCCAATTTGGGACAATTAAGGCGCGATATATTTCGCGCTATTAACGCGTAAGCGGAGATTTAATCCGTCATAGAAATCGTTCCAAATTGGTTGAAGGAAGTTTATTTGCCATAATTGATTTGTACTAGGTGCGAAGTTTATCTTTTTGTACTTAATATGACGTGTGAAGGGATGATTTTCACTAAAAATCTCAAATTAAAAAAAATTCATTTTTTTTAAACATTTAATTGTTTCATGTTGTTACTGCTCTATAAATTAAGGCTTGTTAGTTGGTAAATTTCTTTTTTTTAATTGACATGCTAATGCGTCATAATTGGCATGCGTCACTTAAGAATTATGTCATAAGGCAACATTTTTGTTCCGTCAATCCTTTGCTTTCATTTGATTTTTTCTTAAAGAGTCAATGAACGTAGTTCAGACTCTTAGATAAATCTCGATGATTTTTTTCAAGAACAGTCCTAAAATTTGTTCAGGCTCAAATTTACTTTTTCGCGTTTTCATTTTAAGTTCACTTCATTTCCTCTGTTAAAAGGAAGGCAAACTCCACTATCGAACGACAAAAGTTTCGAAAGTGGAATTTAATTTTCAGATTTCCCAGCGAAATTAAAGTTTTACTTATTGATCCAGTTTTCTTAAATGGGGTTAATTTTAGCAAAAAGTGTCAATCATAAAAGAGCTTTATGGCCAAAGCTTTAAGGCCATCTTTTTTTTCGAAAATTGATATTTTTACATAAACAATTCAGTTTGTTTTGTGCACTTGCGCTCATTGACTTTTTTTCAACTGTCTGTTGGCTATGTTTCTGTTTTTTGTTACAGAAGGACCCGATTGCGATCTTCCAGTGGCTCTCGATCGCCCACCGGATCCCTCAGCAGGTGCGATTCAACAGTCTGCCCCTGGCTCTGCAGCAACTGAGGACCACTCTGGTCCAGAGACTGGCCACTCCCGTGGATGCTGTGCGGCTGAAGACAGTCCAGTGCATCGGAGTGTACTCTGTGTTTGATAAAGAATATGCAGTCCAGATGTTGCCACTGATTGTACAGGTGCATTTTTGACCCTGTGATTTTTATCGCCTTTTGGGATTATCCCACATTCTGTGTTAATTGTTCCGACTTTCGATACGAAAGTAACGGAATATTTGTGCTCGGGGTGGGTTTTTTTTTTCTTCAGACAAATTTCTACTTTTTAACTAGCAATTTTTGACGGATTTTTTTTTATCATTCAAAAGGTATTGTTGTCCTGAGCTTGAATTCTAAAGATATTTCACCTGTGATAATTTTTCGTAAAGTTATGAGGATTTAAAGATTGCCATTTTGACCAATTTGGGACAATTAACGCGCGATATAATTCGCGCTATTAACGCGTAAACGGAGATTTGATCCGTCTTAGAAATCGTTCCAAATTGGTGGAAAGAAGCTTATTTGCCATAATTGATTTGTTACTAGGAGCGAAATCTATTGTTTTGTACTTATATGGCGTGTGGGGGGATGATTTTTCAAATTTTAGAAGAAAAAAAATTATTTCATTTATTTTTTTTATGTTGTTTTTGTTATCACTGCTCCATAAACGTTAAAAGGCAGTCGGAACTTTCAGGGCTTCGCTCTGATACGAGCAGTCTTGTTACACTTGCGATCAGCTTAGTGTGTTATTACGAACCTTCTTTTTTTCTAACCTCACTCGGAAATAAAAGTGTTCATTAAAAGTGAGCAATTATTTGAAAGTTTCACTGTAGTATTGGAAATCACAGTAGCCGGTTTCAATCTCAACGATAGACGAATTTTTGCTAATTCGAAAATTATTTCTAATTTATAAGAGCTGCGTGTTCCCGCAAGTGTTTGCGAAGCGAATCTTGGCGACTGTGTATAATTATGTTAGCTGATTAGAGTTGAAGCAACTGGATGAAAATATCGGTGACCCCGAGTTCTTCAATCGCTCTAAATATCATGCTTTTTTTGAGTAGTCAATTTTTTGGAAATAATTGAACCATCTATCGATTATTTTGTCGTAAAGATCTTTGCAATAGACATCTCTCTTAGCACAATAGAAACCCGTAAGAGAATAAAAAAGAGATCCAAAATGAAGGCATATGTAAATGTATAAGACACTTAGATATGTGTCTTCAAAGTAATCATGATAATAATCATAATAATAATAATAATAATAATAATAATAATAATAAAAAATTGTTTCCAAGTGAAGTCATTACACGAACAGAATTACAATTGAAGAATTTTTTTTACAAAAACATCACTTGAGAGAGCGCCGTAAGACTAAATTAGGCCTGTTTTCAGGCGTCTCAGATGCATTCGAAGTGTCATTTACGAAATTAGGTTCATAGTTCCACTCTTGGATAAATGTCTCCTTCTGTTTGTGTTTAGGTGGTTCTCATGGATCGCAAGGAGAAGGTGCAGCTTGTGGCTTTTCGGGTTCTCTTCGATATCCTCCTTCGTCATGGACTGTCTGCCGTAACTGCATCCACCAACGATCAAAACAGTCTGTCTTATCAAAATGCTTACTTACATGCTCAAGTTTTTTCAAAAAAAAAACATTTATTAATAGTAGAGAAATTTTGTCTGCAATAGTACTGCTGTCATCTTAGTATAGTTGCCTCACTTTTAATGGCGTGTGTAGAAATTATTGGCGGTTTAAACTCTTGCGAATGGAAATTCAGAAATGGTATTTTAGAGCTTATAAAGAAGGATCAGTAAAGAATTGAAAGTTTTTCTCACTCAAATAGTTTAAGTGGTATCAGTTTGGCCCTTGGGAAGAAATTTCGCTGCAGTGAAAGAAGAGTTCGATCACTGTGAACATGCTATTATTTCGTCTAAGAGTTTCATCTTCGTATAAGCGTTTTTTTGAGTCCGTGAGCCCATACAGCATAAGTGTTTCATTTAGCCGACGGAGACACAACAAGTGGAGGAGTGTTGGAGATGACGTCACTGAATGAAACTTTCCTAAATCACAACCACAACAGAATAGTCACTTCGCCTGATCTCAACAGCTCAACGGGGTCCAATCACGCCTCGGATCAGGTCAGAATCTAAGATTGTGTGGAAATTTGCCAATTGGATCAGAATCCCCGAATAATTCCGAAAGTCGTTGTCTCCACTCTACGGATTTTGTACTATGTCTTACCAATGAAAGCTTTTTGTGGGTTAACTACTACTTTGAATATGAATGGTTTATTTTTCCGGGTTTCTGTATCTTTCAAATTTTCAGTATCAAAATTGAACTCTTTATCAAAAATTATTCAGTGTTTATTTTTAGGACGGAGAATCTGCAGGAGACAGAATGTTGGCGGATGATGAGAGTTCGCCGAACTCAAAGCGACTCATCAATATACTCGTCAAATATCTAGACAGTGTTGTAAGTGCAAGCGAGAATAATTTCTAGTTTTTTTTGAAGTTTACTGAGAAAACGGAAACATTTTGAAACGTTTCTTTTTCCGACGCTCGTTTATTTTTAATAAATTATTCCGAAAAACTGAATTATGATTCTGAATAAAATTCAGACTCGTTTTTTCTGGAAATTTTTAAAGTTTGAAACGTTAGTAAAATCTGAATCTAGACTCAAAGGGATTTAATTTAATCTCGTGCGAATTTTCAAGATTCCTGAAATTGAATACAAAAAAATATTAGTTCAAATTTTCTCCTCTCTCCGTGTGTGCTCGGTAGACTAATCATACCGTTTTCTGTGCGTGTGGCGCGTATTCACCACTATATTATAATTGCAAACAAAGATAAGTCAGTTGTATACAAGTAGGGCTTAGGGCTTTAATTTAGATGCATGTTTCACTCCTATTATCTTTTACACAAAATCCCATAACCAATGTCATGCCAAGTTAGTGAGGGGTGAAATGATCCTCTTCATGAAGATTGGCGAGATGTATATAGACCGCTTTTAATATGCTTCAACACTTGGCCCTCTATGAGTTTTCTCTGAGGCATAACAAACGCACTTACGCCATAGTCTACTAGATAAGCCGTAGGCTTTTTAGACAATCCTTGTTGATGATTGTAAATATACATATTGTATTGTAATAATCATCAACTGAATTAAATATTATAGTTTCTTCCAACTTCATAAAATGGTTGGAACAAAAAGCAAAGATTTAATGACAAGAAATTCAAATTTTGTTTTTTAAAAGTCATAAACGTAGTGAATACTCTTAAAAAGTCTTAAAATTTGTTCACGCTCAATTTTGATTTTTCGCGGTTTGAATTTGATTTCTTTTTAACTTTAGTTCGTTTCCTTTGTGAAAAGGATGGCAAATTCCATTATCGAACAGTAAAGGTCACGAAAAACGTGATCGACTTCTAGTTTCAAAAAAAGAATTAAATTATCAAATTTTCCAGCGAATTAAAAATTTTACTTATTGATAGTTTTCTCAATTGGGGTTAATTTTATCGAAAATTGTCAGTCATAAAAGAGCTTTAAGGCCAAAGAGCTTTTAAGGCCATCTTTTTTTTCGAAATTCAACCTTTCTTTTTTTTTGTTACAGAATGACCCGATTGCGATCTTCCAGTGGCTATATATTTTTTTTCGCAATTTTAGTTTTTTCAAAAAACATTTCAGTTTCTAGTTCTTTGCGTTGCTGACTCTTTTCGAACTGCCTGCTTGCTATGTTTTTTCTTGGTGGGTTGAGATCAAATATAGCTTTACAACTTTTTTTATATGTTTTTGAAAATAAAATATTGTGATAATCGTGAATATTCAACAATAATGGCAGTAATCTTAATACTTTTTATTACAAAAAATAAATACAAACCGGTTATTTTGTAGAATTCTGAGATGAGATGTGCGGCTGTGGAGGGGCTGTCTAAACTGATGTTGCATGACCGAATCACGTCGCCCGAGATATTCTGCCGCCTGTGTATTCTCTGGTTCAGCCCCACCTCCAAACAAGAGGGATACCTCAAACAGTGTCTAGGACAGTTCTTCCCTCTGTTCGCCATCGGATCAAAGTCAGTCCCTTTGTTTTTAAAGTGTCGATAAACGAAATAAAGACACTGGTTGAAGCCGTTTTTAGTTCCGTTTTTTTTTTCAGTTAAATTTTAAAAGATGTTCACGCTCAAACTTCTTTTTCTTGCGGTTTGATTTTGATTAAATACTCTCAAAAAATTGCTCATTTTTTGGTTTCCTTGAGTTCATTTTCACATATTTGCACTAACCTTACTACTTTTTTTAAACCTAACTCGCAAATAAAATGTTCATTAAAAGTGTTCACTTTTGTCACTCATGATATAATCACGATCTGTAGCATTAGAAATTCCATAGCATCTGTTCTCTGCATTATTTTTGGCTAGTGTTTGTGATTAATGAAGCGTCCGTGGCTCAGTGATTGGTTAGTGCGTGAGACTCAATCTCTATGTTGCGATCGATCGGAGATCGAATCCGAGACTTAGCCGAATTTTTACTAATTGAGACTATTTTCTACTTTTTCTTATTGCACTTTACACAGCTGCTTTTTGTCGTGTTCTCGCTATATGTTGGCTGTTTTTGTTAATTCAAATTTGAAACAAGGTTTTTGACTGAAAAAATCTGTCCACTGAATGGAAAGTAAATCTTCTATAGCAACTCAAAGGTGAAACTTTTAGTTGTAAGCACCAGAATTGAAATTGATCATTTTTCCTTGCCGATTTTTGAAATTTTTTAGAGTAATGAACCTAGTGAAGATTCTTATATAGGTCTTTGTGTTTTTTGTTTTTTTTTTCAGGAAAAAGTCTTAAAATGCTATAATAACTACAGATGTGGATTCATACATACTGATGCATTTTTGAATGCACTTAGGTGTATATGCACTTTTTGAGTGCAATTGAAATTCATCTGCTGAAAGTGACGCAAATAGCACTCTCCAAATAAGAACGTGGAAATGGCGCAAAAAATGTGACTAATTTCTAGTTTCGAAAGATGAATTTAGTTTTAAGTTTTCCAGCGGAATAAAAACTTTACCTATTGATCCAGTTTTCTCAAGTTGGTCATAAATTGTTCTAGAATTTCAAAGAGCGTAAAGGGCATCTATTTTTTTCTTTGAAATTCGAAAGTTGAGATGTTTTCAACTCAACTAAGTCAGTGTCTCTTTTCCAACTGTCTGTTGGCTATGTTAACTCAACTAAGTCATTGTCTCTTTTCCAACTGTCTGTTGGCTATGTTTTCGTTCCATCAATAGGTAAATCTCTTAATACCATCAATTTTTAAGGCTACTTTCTTGTTTTAGTTGATTGCCATTTTTCTTTAATTTCTTTTCTTGGATAGCAATGTTGGTTTCAGAGCACACCAAGACTGCATCAGGAAATCATTTCTGCCTGTGGTGAGGACAATCTACAAGGCGCCTCTCACCTCTCCCCTCGCCTCGATTGACTGTGAGCTGCTGACCAAGTATCTAGTCACCATCATGTCTCCATGTAATGAAAGACTCATTCTTCAGAACCCGGAAGGAGTTGACATTCTCAGGGTAAGAGAAGAGCAGCTGACATGTAAAATAATTATAAAATAGTTTAAATATAAAATAATTGATTGCAACTTTTTCGAGAACTTTTTCAAGTGTTTTCTGTCTCATTTTCCATTCGATAGCTAGTTGTGCTTGCGTTGTATCGTAGCTATACTGGCGTAAATTAGTGGTTCCCGTCTTTTTTCTTTCGATGGCTAGCTATGCATGCGCCATGTTTAAGTATTCATTTTATTTCTTACAAGTCATACAATGAAGTTTTTGCAGATGAAGTTTTTTTCAACATGTTTCCTTATACTTTTTTATATTGGTGGTGTCCCTCTCTTTTTTTTCGCGAGCGGGCAATGCTATGCTTGCGTTGTATTTCGAGTGTTGTGAAGCTCCGTTTGTCCTCTGTTCTTAAGTCCTCCTGATAAACATTTTTTCACTCTCCTAATTTTTGGGAAGCTTGATTTTTGTTTTAAGGATTTTTTAACCCATTGGACTCTCAAAGTAAGATATCTTTGTCAAACAAATCGCAGCGGGCATGATAAAGAAATGGTGGAATAGTCAGTTTTTTGTTGCGATCATTGAAAATGGGGAGGAACATTTTAGTCGGTATCTTAGTTTTTTTCAGCTTTTTAATTTGCATGCAAAATCAGGTACCACAAATAATCATCGGACTTTAAAGCCCGTAAAGTCGTGAATCGAACGACATTAAAAAAATTTCCCTAGTGTCAAGAAAAACCGGTTTGAAATTTTCGAGTTTTACGCATAGCGTATTAGTACGAACCTTTTTTTTCTAACCTAACTCGCAAATAAGTGTTCATTAAAAATGGTCCTTCGGCGGCGCTGTTGCTATAATCACGATCTTTAGCATTGCAAACTTCAAAGCATCTGTTCTCAGCTTTATTTGTGGCTAGTGTTTGTGCTTAAGTAAGCATACGTGGCCGATTGGTTAGTACGTGAGACTCATAATCTCTGTCGTAGATCGTATCCGAGTTTTAGCCAAAATTTTACTCGTTCGAAGCTTATTTCTACTTTTTCTTATTGCACTGTTGCTTTTGTCGTGTTCTCGCTAATGTTTGCGAAGCTTCGCCTCTATGTTATTGCTTAATTTAAGCCTTGAAAATTTTGTTTTCCTTAAGGAAAGTTAGTTTTTGGTGTTTTTAGCGCCATTTTAGGAATCAAACACTTCAAAATTTTGAAAATTTTCGGAAAACAAAAGTTCGAAAATTGAATTTTTTTAGCGAGTGAGGAGGCTGAGACTTCAAAAAAGCGATTGAGCAGGCTGAGAGGTTTTAGCGAGTGAGCAAGCTTAACTGGCTACCTTTTGGGTTAATTTCATATAAAAAATCGAAGGCACAAGTTTCTTGAAATTAGAATTTTACAACGATGTAATTTGGCGAATGAAACACGAAACTAAAAATGGTCTTTTTTGGTCACTTTTACTTCTATAATTCAACTTTCCTTTAGTTATTTTTTTGTTTCGATTATTTCCTAGACCTGGTCATGTGTTTAACGCGTCCACAATTTTCTGCGTAAATTATATCGGTAAGACATCTATCTAACCTGAGGCTCGATCCGGATTTCAACTGACTGTTTAAGTTGCAGTTGAATGTTCGATATTTTTTTCACAAAGATTCTGCTTTACATATCAATATTTGTCAGTTTAATTCGGCCGATATCAAAGACAAGTACAAGCATCATAAACTAAACCCCAGTGCTTTTTTTAGAACATCCAGGTACAAACGACATTTACTTGACAAAATGTCGATATTTAGTTTATATTCTGTTGTCTTTTTGCTGTATAATTTTTCGTTCTGAATGAACTCATCTGTGAAAAAAACGATCCAAGATGGCCCATAGTCCTCGTGATGTACAAAAAATTGAATATAGAGAATTTGATTTTGTTCATTTGTGATCAATAGGATTGAAATGGTTTGTTAAATTTAAATTGGACGCTGAATTGAATGAATTGAAGTTATATTAAATGTTACTGAAAGAAATGAAAATTTTCACTTATTCTTACCTGTTGCGTGTTTCTCTAATTATTTTGTTGAAAATTAAAAAAATAATAATTTTTGGTGGTCAATTGTTTCAGCAAGCAGCAGCCCACGAACAACTGGGCAAGCAGTTGTGCGAGGAGATTTTGACCAGACCTGAAGAGAGATACGTTCCCTGTCTGGCCAAGGCTCTGTCTCAGTTGGAGATCACTCCAGAGTCTACTATATTCACACAACAGGAGTTCAGCGAGTATCTCAACCAAATTGAACTGGTTAGTTTTCTACTAGGGACCATTTTTAAATTGTCAATGAACGAACTGAAGGCACTAATTTAGTTTTTTTAACCGTATTTACGCTCAAATTTGGTATTGTTTTCGACAGGGGCGGATCTGCGATTTTCTCGAGGGGGGGGGCTATTGCGTACCTGTTTATCGCGTTTTCTCAATTTTAATCAGTTTTTTTTTCGAAAAAAGTTTCAATTATAATGAAAGATTGAATTTCGAAGAGCTTAAAAATGATTTTTTTTTCTAAACTCGAAATATGAAGTTTTTTTTAAAAGTCAGTAATGTTTGGTCTGTTTGCTCACTTGCCAAATTTGCGTTGGCTGTTTCGTCTTTTTGTTGCTGTTTTTTTTGAGTTGATTAATGGTACGATTTTTGTTTATTTAGTGGTTTTGATCATAGCTCATGATATTATTCAATGCTGCTGGCTATCTGTATTTTTTTCCTTGACTTCAATTTGAGTTATAAAAAAAACTGAACGACTACTATTTTCTTAAGTGGAATTTACTTTTTTTATTTCACAGCGGAAGATTAAATTTTGGACTATTGATCCAGTTTTCGTAAATTGAGTTAGTTTTATAAAAAAAAACTCTGTCAATATATTTGCCTTGAATTGAAGTTCAAAGTGGGTAAAGGCGAAGTAGTTTTTACTTTGAAATTCGAAAATTGAAAATTTTTCTGAAATAAGTCAGTTACGTTCATTGACTCTGCCATTGTCAATTGGCTATGTTTCTTGAGTGAAGCTCAGATTGCTAGTCGCTTAGTCAGCGTAAGGTGTTCAGCTGCATTAATGGGCTAGCGTTCATACTGAATTAGATCAGAAAGGGTCGGTCTAGTAAAAACAGTAGTAGTTGAAATAATTTTGTACATTGTGGAACTAAATCACAATTATGGCGCGTGATAGCATCTTAGGGGTTGTTATATGTTTCGATTTCTTTTCATCAAGGCTGAGTAGCCAGAAAGGATTTTTGCGAGTAAGCATCTAGTCTATCGTGAGGGCTTTTTTATTGGCTTGAGATCCCGTAAGTTTTACCCGGATAGATATCTCAGTTATCTCAATGTTCCGGTGTGTATCGATTTTAGAGTTGAAACAATCGACGATAGGTCACGAATTTTTTTTTGGTTTTAATATTGTGTTGTTGTTTTGAATCCCGGGTGATTAAGTGTGAATGAACGTAGTGAAGACCTTTATTGAGGTCATGTGTTTTTCTTAGGAATTTTTTTT